GGCCACCTGGGCACACTGCCGGCTCATATTCAGCTGGTTGTTGACCAACGCCCCCAGGTCCTTTTCTGCAGGGCAGCTTTCCAGCCACTCTTCCCCAAGCCTGTAGTGTTTGTACAGTAAAAAAAACTTCAAAACAAAATCTTCAGTTTTCCTAGCTTACTGTACAGAGCCAGAATATTCTATTGCAGTACTGAAAATTACTGTGAGGTATTTACAACAATTATTTTCTTTCAGTTTGAAATTAAGTACTTCTGAGGCATTGTTTAAGATCTCAAAGGAAAAAGGCATCTTACAATATCCCTGTCAATCTAGATGTTTTTCTTGATTTCACAGGGTTCTGATAGAGGAGACTCTTAAGCCTTCTAGCCTGCTGAAATTTTTTTCCCGTTAGATGGTAGACAATCCTAGACAACTGATAAGAGGGCAGATATCTGTATTATATGAATTAGTCTATATATACAATCTTGACAACATAAAAACCCATTAAAATCAAATCTCTGAAAAGGAAAATAATTTCAGAATTATTTATGGAAAATTAATTTTCTCCTGACAGAAAGAATACCTTACGTAACAGGGAAGAGCTATAAAAGGAGACCAAATCACTGGCACACATCCTTTATCACTTTGACCGACTGACTCAAAATTAATTTCTTGCAGAGACATCCTCTGTGGGAGACTGGATTATTTGCCTTCCTTCTTTATGGCCTGTGGTATGAAAGCACATTCATAAGCAAGGGACACCATCATGGTGCTGTTGTGCTCCCGTGGTTCCTGGTTGCAGAGTAACCTCTTGGGGACGGTTGCAAGCCAGGTGTCTCGTTCCTGGATCAAGGCATCTCGAAATGATCAGGAGAAGGTGAATGTGGAACCCACGCTCTGAAGAAGCAACACGCAGTTCTTTACTGCTGGACTATGTTACAGATGATTGCGGTGTGACAGGACATATTTATTCATACAAGAAAAGCCTCTTTTTCTCCTGATGGAGTGCAAAAAATTTTTCTTCTCAAGGAAGGAAAAATGGTGGAAATGCAGATACCTCATTAGTCCTGTCCATGGACCTGTATATTTTGGCTAGTTGAGCTGTCAGCAGTGTAATGTATTGGTCCTCTGCACTGGAATTGCTAATGGTGCAATTCAGGCAATACAAAAATGAAAGTTTGGGGAATTCCACCGCATGGTGTTCCTCTGTAACTAGGAGAGATCTGTTTTATTCGCAGCAAACAGCAATGTCAGAGATGCTGCAGGAAACAAGCCGTGCTTGAAAATTATCCAGAGTGTGCCAGAGAGATCAGCTACTGTACGCAGTTAAAATGTGCACAACCCACATACCTAAGATTTTATATTATGCTCTCCATCTTTATAATTATAGAAATACAGATAGAGTGGCTATGTTTACCAGAAAAGTATAAGCATCTGTGGGATTCCCTCCCCATAGGGCTGTCATGGGAGAGCGATCACCCCATGAAGATCAAGGGGAGAAGCTCTCTGGTCAATGGAAGAAGCCCTCTCGATCACCTTACAGACTGAGGGGGGTTGCTGACTACACGTATGTGAGACTCATTATGGCATGCCAGGGAAGAGCATTTTGGGATTGCACAAGACTTATTATGGAATGTTTAGGCGGAGGACCAAAGGTGGGGAAAGAAAGAGATCAAGGGGGCTTGGGGAGGAACCAGTATGGGACACAGGACAAGGGGATGAAAGGGGCTGGTGATGTGCGAACCCGTTGCTCGTCAGTACATTTCTCTGGCCGTGCCCTGCAGCTGATCAGCGCAGGGTCTCTTGTCTTCATCTTAAACTCCATTTCTAACTATTTTCCCGGGTGAGGGGACTCTCTGTTCTGCACTGTGTGTGTATGGAGGTTTAAGCGCCGGCAGCCGGAATTAGACCGCAAGTCATACGGGCCTCTGTGTCCGGGGTGCCAGCAACCGCAGAGACCGGTCGAGGGGCCGATCCCCCTCCCGTGGTCGCCACGCAGACCGCCGCTCGCCGCAGCGGAGGCGGAACCCTGGGGGGCGGCGCCCGGCGCCCACCGGCCGCCAT